GCGAGCATGGTTTGTGGACTTTTTGTATCTTATTGTTCATAATTTCTCCAACTGCACATGTCCCTTATAGTTTCTTTCAGATGCAAGCATTCCGGTAAAGGGTCTCAGGTTCCAGCCTATCTCATAAAGAGGAATCCTTTGGTAAAGTGAGTATAATCAAAATTTGTTTTGCTAGGTTTAGATTTTCACATCATGTTTCTTTGAGGCAAATATATTTTGCACTGGATTTTGTATCAATTTCTTAGAATTTGTTAGTCAAGAATTCCAAGAACGGAGATCTGGTTGAAATAGAGTCATTTATTTGGGATGTGTTAGAACTGCAGCCCAGGAGACACAGATCCAAGAAGCAATTGAACTGCGTTCTGCTGGACTACAAAATGGGGGAAGCTTAAAAAGGCAAAAAAAAAATCACAAGATTACATAAATCGTCACAATTAGGACTGGAGCTGACAAGAAGGGTGCTTGTTACACGAGGATTATTTAGGGATTGAAATGATTATATAGCAGCAAAAAGCAGGGGGTATTCTTTGAAACCACAGGTTGCAGCCAGCAGCTACCAGCACGTACAGTAAAACCGCCGGTGGTGTCTTGACACAGTTCAGAAAATTCACACTCTCAGTGATGCAGGAATATGTCTGAAATCACACCCAACAATGGCCACTCAGTTCAATTTCAGATGTCTCTGCCATACTTACTGCATTTTAATTTTTAAATGATTTAAAATGTCATCAACTTCCAGTTTTTAAAGGAGATGTGTCTTTTACTGGTTCAGTTGTTTAATTCTAAGTCTAGTGCTACAGAGCCAGGACTCAATATATGATCGAGAGAAACAAGAATAATAAAACACAAGGCACAAAAATCCACAGCAAATTACATGTTCAGAAACACGGCAGGTGACTGCTTTACGAATGCGTTTTGTTAACTCTCTATTATCAATAAAAGTAGTAACAGTAGCTATCGTTATAATATACGGGAACTATAAAACAGCTCCTTTTTTTTCTAGTAACTAGCTCTTCTGTGTGTGTGCTAAGGGATCGACTCTACATACCCTTACTCTAAACTGGAGTGTCCAGTATCACCAGTTTTTTAAGGACTGAATTACCTGAGGGAGCATGCCACGCGAATACAATTAGGAATGGGAGACTCTGTCTTTTTAGAGCATGTTCTGCTCCCTTGGATCCATTACAAACTGTTTAATTACTTACACCTTCAAGGAAATAGCTCAAGGTGAGGTCCTCAGCAGCCTTGAAATCCTCGTGGAGATTCCAAAAGCCGCACAAAGTAAACCTGCGGCGGGAAGGCGCGCGCGCGGCCTCGGGGGCGGGGCCCAGGGCCGGAAGGGGCGGGCCAGGCT